GGGGGGGGCGACCCATCCCCCACTAATCAATCAATCAAACAATTAGTCACTTTATTGATCAATCAAAGAAGAAAAAAAATAAAAAAAAATTTATGTGTTTTGAGAGTGGTTTTGTTTTTGAATTTTTTAAAATAATTTAAATGCTCAAAAAATAAAAATAAAAATATGGGGATGTAGAAAACAAAAAAATATACACCCCTATTTTTGCCTGCAAAAAAAATATCCGCGGGCCGAGTTGAACCATGTTGTAACAGGGTGTAACGCGGAGTTGAAACGGGAGTTCAACGGCCGAGTTACTGACGATACATCTCCATGCATCGAGTATCTTGTGCATTGGAAGGGCTATCATAATGAGGAGGCTACTTGGGATTCCCTCCAGCACTTGGAGCACGCGCGGATGTTGGTGCGTGCATATGATCGAGCTCGTCGTGTTAACACAACGACTCCTACTCAGCCGACTGACCCTTTTCTTCCTCCTCTGGCTGAGGAAATTGTTGAGGACGAACTCGTTCCTCTGCGGTCGTTCTTCAACAACATACAGATGCCTCCTTGCATCCACAACGCACTCGTCGACGCCCTCGGCGTTTGATAACTGACACTCTGATCACCTACCTTCTCCCTACTGACTCACATCTTCAAGTACTTCATCATCAACTTATTCGGGATGTAAGCGTTTTGCGACTCTACTTCGACATCGATTCGACTCCTACTTCATCAACATCATTGACCACTTCGACGACTTCAGGTACCATATCGGCTTCAATTCTTTTAGACGTCACCCTGAGCCTGATGACCTATCCCACCTTCGTGTGTGACTGCCTTAGGAGTTTCGATTCTTAGGCTGCATTCACCTCCTCTAAGACTATCCCACTCTTAGTGGTTCAAAGAAATGTCATTACTTGTAACATATTGCTATCTTTTCCTTGCTACATTTCAGTTTATGTTTTTAGTTAGGATGTGTGTACCGGACATTTGCTTTTCATTTGATATTATATATCTTAGGATGCATCGCATGAACTCCGCAGGCAGATTGCTCCGCATCCTAGATTTCTCAACTTTCCTTGTTGCATAGTTCCGCTGCTTTTGCAGATAGCGTGTTTATGACTTTTGCGATCCACTACAGGTCTGAGGATCGTGCAACGGGCCTCTATCTGCCCTGACCTACAACGAGGGCCTATCAGGCTATTTGCCTATGTGGCCTGTGGGACTAGGCCGTGGCCTGACCTCACAGTCCTACTGTTGTTTCAGTCCAGTCCGGTCCCGCCCGGTGCCACTGTCGGTACCAGTGCACGTTTTGAAGTACATGCGTGCTAAGTCTGCGTCAGAGCTACGCTGTCCCTTCCAGCTCCATCTCCGTCTGCTCAGTCTGCAATTTGGTGGGTTGACCAATGTCTTGGGTATGCAAATAAGTTGCATCGGGCATTTCCAGGGTATGGGTGCAAGTTTGCACTGAGACTGGGTATAGCAGGTGTTCCTATCTTTAAATGGGGTACAAATGCAGTTTGAGTCTTTGAGATCTGTTTCTGTCACGGTTGAATATATCCAACCCAGCTTCAGGGTTGGGTGGGGATGTGTTGTATTTGAGTGATGCTTGAAGTCAAGGGTTATGTGCTACTTGGAGGGAAGTGGGCGGTGATTGCCAGCGTGTGGTGTTGTGTGTGGTATGTGTGGCGTGTGGACACTGCAGCGTTGCAGGGGTGGGGCGGATATCATGGCCTGTATGGTTCTGCTTTTGAACACCATGTAGTGGTTACAATAATTTCCTCTTGAGGCCAAGGTCGCCTGTTCAAATCCATGCTTGTGTTTTCACGAAGGAGGGCTGATGCCCAGAGGTACTGAACCAATGACATGACATGACATGAAGTGGATTTGGAGCTGACAATGTGACTGCACCGTGAAAAAAAGAAAAAGGTTTTTAATCCTATGCTGCTTCACGTTTTTCGTGCGCTCTTTGGCAAAGGTGCGCGTCTTGATCTCGCACCTGCACCTGTACTTAAGTTCTTCGCAGGTGTACTTGAGTGCGAAAGGGCCTTGCTCCATTGCTCACCTCATGCACAAAAGACAAAGAATAGGGCTGTCCATCTTCCCATGTTCCAGGGAAATATTCATTCTCATTTTGCACAATAGTACTGGAGCCAGGGCAATGTCTTGTGCACAGAGGGCATACTCACACACACACTTTTTTACTTATTTCTGGACGGAATTGCAGCCAGATGCAAATAAGTCCCTCCCTAAATGTGGCAGACACAGTTAAGATCATGGTGGTGTGAGTACGCCGTGAGAAATTCAAATTACATCCAGTGCCCAAGGCGAAAACAGTACAATGTATGCTCTGACACGTGTCCTTCGGGGCACCCCTTAAAATTGGAGCCAAACACCTGGCTTGGTTGTCATGACCTTGTGGGGCTGCGGTAGGGATAGGTTTGGCCGAGAGTGGCTTGCTTAGCCCGTTTGGCCGCAGCAAGTGATGTAAGGGACACGGGGCCCGTTTCCCAGTTAT